ACTAAGCACAAGGATCGCGTTTCAAACACACCGACAGAAATTGTCAATGGATTTAGTGAATATTTCAAATCTGTTTATGCACCACATAATAATATACTCTCTAATGAGATTTCGATACATACTAACACAAACCATAATATTGCTGTTACCAACATCACAAATAATGAGGTCTTCCAAGCTTTGAAGAAATCTAAAAATAGTTTTACATCTGGAGCTGATGAAATTCCAAGTTTCATATTAAAAGATTAATTTTTTGACTGAACCTTTAACGTACTTATTTGTTTAATTTAGTATTCACTAATGGAAAAATATTAAAAATTATCGCCCAATAACCCTTCTCTGTAACTTTGCTAAAGTATTGGAATCTGTATAATACAACAGAATTTATGCGTCCATAAAATGTACTCATCAGTGCAGCATGTCTTCATGAAGAATCGATCAACTTTAACAAATTTGTTATGCATAACACAAGACATTTCAGAGACACTTGATGATAACTGCCAAATGAATGTTATATATACGGATTTTCAAAAGGCGTTTGATATCATTAATCATCAGATGCTTCTCGAGAAAATGCGTCTCCATGGATTCTCTGGCCCCCTATTATCATTGTTTCGACCATATTTGATAGACCGTCAGCACTGTGTAAGATATCGAAATTGTTTATCTGAATCATTCGTTCCCACCTCCGGAGTTCCACAGGGATCGAATCTTGGGCCATTGCTGTTCTTGTTGTTTGTCAATGATTTACCAGTCAATATATCGTGTGATAAACGACCTGAAATTGTATTTTATAACTTTGGTGTCAAACAAACCAAATAAATGATTTTAAGTAAACATAAGTGTTACCTTATGACATTCTCCAGACAGAAAAATCCCATTACCTATGATTATAAAATAGCGGAGCACACGATTCAACGAGCGGAATATTTTAAACACTTAGGTTACTTTTGGCAACAGACTTACATTCATTCATGCCACATATATATAAATTTATTTACGGAAAATTACCTTATTACAAATAGAGAATTACATATTCAATGCAGATCGCACATTACGTTTATAAGCTAATATATTTGTGGAAAAAAAGTCAACACTTCCACAGTACTCATTAGAAACCGAGATCAATCTACTTACTGTGTTTTTGTTTCCATAATTTGTCCTATGAGATGATCTATTTAATAAGTCACTATGTCTAAGATTCCGCGAAGGAACATTATATCCATATAAACGATGTAGTTAGAAGATCACTAAATACTTTGGGTTTTGTGCATCGGTCTTGCAGAGAATTCACCGAAATTCAACCTCTAATAACACTATTGTTTGCTTTTGTGCGCTCCAAACTAGAATATTGCTCCATTGTCTGGTCACCTTTATACAATGTGCATATTACGCACTTAGAATCAGTCCAAAGACGTTTTCTAAAATATCTGTGTTTTAAATTCGATGGCATCTATCCTGATAGAGGTTTGAGTGAAGATATCTTATTAGCTAAATTTAATTTTAGTTCTTTACGAACACGTAGGTTGCCGCAGGGCGTCGTCTTTTTGTTTAATCTTTTGCATAACAAAAATTGATTGTGTCTTTATTAACAATAAAATTTCATACTGTGTCCCAAGATTTAGCACTCAATACAGAACGTGTTCTTATTGTGACACTTGCAGGACTAACATTTTAGTAAACTCTCCAGTTGTAGTTCTGTGCGAAACATTCGTTAATAGTATATTACATAACGAAAATAGTAAACAGCATATTACGCACGAGTTCAAAAATTGCGCATGAGCCCCGTAGGGCCGAGTGCAGTAATTTAACGAGTGCGGAATAGGCGTTTGCATTCGAGTTATGTGCTATACTTTTTCTACAACCACCAAAAAAACAACATTTTAACAACAAAATTGATTCAGTCTTAAGGAAGAAATAATTAAGGCTGTACGGCACCGCGAGAAAATTTCATCTCCGGGAAATATGCACCTTGTAAAACAACCCATGCTACCACGTTATGACAGCTCCCACTCATCTCTAAGGGTTAAAATTGTTCGCTTCGTTCAAAATAGTTTTATTACTCCTATTGTCAGCTGGGAAAGGGTATTACTCGGCATGCAGGTAGAGCAGAGTACTGAACTAAAATATTTATCTACTACGAAAGAAAACACTATTTCTCAACTTACGCTCGGGAAGTAAAAACGCAAGAACACGTCGATTGGTATATAAAAATTGCCATTTTGTAATATTGATTTCAAAATTTTTGAGCTATATTTGACAGATGTATGGCGTCATCCATAATTTTTTTAAATAGCACCTCACATTTTTTTTAGCATTCTAATAACCTGATACATTAATTGTCATAATAAAATTATTCTGCTATACATTTACACACTGGCTATTCTAAAAAAAAATTCAGCATCGCTTCAAATTCAATATTGTTCGAATGAGAAGTCATTAAAGTTTGCATGTATTTGGTATAGGGCTTGATACTGGGGACGTATGTACAGCCTTAGCATACTACGCAACATAAAGACGGTGCTTTGAACTGTTTCGAAATTTCGCCAAAATAAGCAAGAACAACGTTCTCAGAAAACGATTTCATTTTGTTCTTTAATTTCCAGTCCATAAATTTTGTATATGTTATTTCATATCGCTTTTTAGATTTTGCTAGCACAAGGTGATCTGTCGCCTCATTAGGTTTGTCGACAACATTCGGTATCGTACAAACAATCTCAAAATCAGATTCAGATGACATTACGTTGTTGTAGTAATAGAAAAATTCACAATCCACAAAATACCTTCTTTAGACTTTTCTCTGACATAAGCTTTCTATTTTGTCAACAAAAGTCAAACGCGCAGGTCTGCCACTGCGCATATACTAAAGGAAAAAGTTCCTATCTGCCGATAAAAATAGTTATTTATATATCAAGGGAGCAAAGTGAAACATTTCATCCCGCGGGTTCAGGTTGAGGCCCGACGCGTAGCGGAGGGCCTTAAGAATCCGAGGGAGGAAATGGCACTTTGCTCAAGTGATATACAGGGTCATCAAAATTGATTGAGAGAGTTGGTACCCCCTGTTTTTGTCGTGAAGTTTGTCAACCTTATGACAGATTTGTTTAAGGTTATATGGCAATGAATTCAGTGGCGTGACAAAAATTCGAAACTTCAAATCTGACTAATATTTTTACCAAAAAAAAAAAATCAAAAAAAGACGCCATTGAGTTTTGAAATTTGAAACTTGAAACTTCAAATCTGACAGCTAATATTTTTATGCAACTTAATAAACCAAATTATTCAAGTTCAGGTTTACCAACTATCTCAATCAATTTTGATGACTCTGTATATATAATTTTTTCAACGAACGAACGTTTAAAATCTATTTTATAAAAAGTTTAAATGAAAAAACTGTTACCGCAATAAACTAAGTCATCTTGATTGTTTCTATGACAATTTTCATTTTCGCATTTGAACAAAGCGTCTCGTGAATTGTAGTTTTGTGCTCCTTAAAATGCACTAATTTTGGAAAAAGTTTGGTAAGTATGTTTAATGATAATAATCACTTCAGCCACTTTAAGATCATCATTTAAGAATTAGCCCAGTTTGCGCGATGGCGCGCATAGCGAGTCCACCCGCGCAGCGAATTTTAACCAATTTCAGACTTTTTAAAGATTCATTTTTTTGTGTCGAGGCTTTTACTTAAGTATTCCAATCACACTTGTTAGGTGCACTATTTTCAAAATTGACAACTAGGAATTAATATGCTAAGATTACTGCCAATAATGCTGAATTTCCAAAGCAAAAATTTGCTTCAATCATTAATAGTCACCAGATATCTTCCCTTGAACAGTTGATATTTCTTTACCCATTCTAAAAAACCCATCACACATGTTAAAATTTTTTGTATTATGCATTTCTAGATCAATTTTATAATAAATAAAAATATAACTTCATTTGACAAAATTCAAAGAAAAACGCATTATAGAAACAATTTTTTTTAAATAAGTAGGTGATATCTAGGTGATCTTAACTTCCGAGGTGAAGACTGCAAATGCTACTGAAAAATGTGCGCACCAATGAGAATTATTATTATTATTATTAATATTATTATTAATTGTATTAATAATGAGACGGAAAGTCAGACGGGGATATATACTATAATATTCTTCTTTAAATAATAACCATTTGTTTCGAATTTTAGTTAAGTTAAAAAATTTAAAGAAGAAACGATAATTCTTCCAGGTTATAGGATTCAAAATTATTATGACGTTCGCCGTTAATAAATAGGAATCCAACAGAAACAATGCTTCGTCTTTATTTTTATCCTTTTAGGACGCACCACTGACGCGCAAATGAGCGGCATTCAGGAAATATTTTGTCAATATGGGTACTAATGCCAAATACGTAATGATGATGAGACTAATTATAAAATATATATTTACATTCTAGATTACTGAAGAGACGATGTTAATTTTTAACTTCAATTAATCCCCACAAGTTTCAGATAGATCTCCTGCCAAATGACCTACGTTACTCCGATCTCGTCAACTTGGTGCTAAGTCATCCTGATTGACATGGTCAAACTATTCAAGAAACTTACGAACAATATTACATGTTTCTATAAATTTTAAATTCTCAACTAAACTATTTAATACTACAGGTTTATCTGAGCTAAGTAAAGACGAAATTAAAATTTGGTTAAAATTTAACATTATCTTTATTTCAAAGAATAAATGTAGCATTTTAAAATTTTATTTTACTTCTCTAGAAGTTCATCGGGATATCGTTTTTAGATAAATCTTGAATATATTACTGGCACCATGTCTACAAAACAAGAGTTCGTACCATGGTTACGTAAACGTTTCGTTCACCTAAAGAAGACTAGCCAGTTAGTGAATTTTATTTCTCTGATTTTTTTAACTCTTGTCACCTTTTAACACCACAGTGACTTCACGATAAAGTGTGTAAAGTAAAATAAAACACATACGATTCCAATTTTATTAAATTTTAATCCCGTTTACCCAGTATTCTCCATTGACAGTACAGACTCTATGCTTTAGACAGGTTTTTGATCGTTTCGAAAGTCATGTTTCTGATGTCATTAACAGTTACATCTAATCCAGCTTCCTTGTTCAAAATATGCTTAATTTCAAAGCCAAGAAGTGAATCCATTCCCAACTCGAGCAAAGTTTTCGTATCTTCGATTTCCTCCACGTCCTTTATTCCAAACAGATTTGCAACAGCTTCCGTCACACTCTTCACCTCATTAACTTCAGTTGCCGGGTCACCATACACACAGCTCGAGAAAACTGGTTCATTTAATTGGAGGAACTGATCCACAGCTTCTAAACACGACCCGAGCTTTTGACGCTGAGTTTCCAAAAGTTGTATGTTCGTCTTCAATCGAACTAAAATACCAACATCAGCCAAAGGTCCCCACTCGATTGCCATACTTGGTAGTCCTTCGGCTTTTCTGGTCTCGCATATTCTTTCAACGGCAGAGTTAGCAAAAGCATAATTCGACTGATACTCGTTACCTATGCTGGAGGCAATCGATGAAAACATAACAAAATACTCCAGCTTCTTGCACAGTTTTCGCGACAACATGTCAGTGTTTTGAACGCTATAAATCTTCGATGCTACAAGAGCAAAGTCTTCTGGAGTTTGATCTACCATAGCATCATCTTTGATATGCAAAGCAGTGTTGAAAATTCCACCGACAGGAGCTAAGTTATTTGCAAAATTTAACAGACATTCAGCTCCATCGATAGTACTCGTATCAAAGGTATTGGCCACTACAGTAATTCCTTGATTGTTCCACTTCTGGAGCCACAAAGCGTGGTAACCGGATCGTACTTCTCGTCGAGAATTTAGGATAAGTTTTGTGGCACCTCTTTGTATCAACCATCGGGCAAACTCGAAGCCGAAACCACCAAGACCTCCAACTATAACGTAACACTTGTCTGGATCCATATAAGTGCGTGGATATGCAAGAACTCGAATCTCAGGTTTAGAAAAGAAACGTCCATTCTCTTTTATTTTGATTAAACACTTTGTAGAATGATATTTTTCCTCCAGGTGCTTTAAAGCAATGTCTACGTCGTTCTTATCATAAACTGAATATTTGAGAGGAATCAAAATTCCGTCCTTTAAGTACCTATTCATGTCTGCAGAAATAATGTCCAAAATGTCGTCTTTTTCTTCGAAAATGTCATTAATATTGATGTTATATATCGAAGAATTTGTATCTGAGATGCTATCATCCAACATAAAATCGATAGTGGTGTTGCCAATTTCGATGAAACGTCCATGTTTGACGGTACACTTCTTTGATAATTTAAGAATATCTAGAGACCCGCTGTTAAGAATTGTATTGACACCTCTACCTTGCGTTTTTTTCATTAAAGTTTCATAAAATGGACTGTTGTCAGAGTGGGTAATTATATTAACGTTCTGTATCTTGGGCAAGACTTTCTTCACGTAGTCCCTATCGGAAGGTTCAACTACTACATAAACAGTACAACCTCTGGCTGCAGCCAAAACGATTGCTGCTAGACTAAAGTCATTTCTGCAGTTGTGAACTAGAATGGAGTCTTTGGGTGACAAATGACTTTCAATAAACAAAGCGTAATGAGCCTGAAAGACATACAGATTAAGATTAATCACAAAAACAGAATTCATTTACTCACAAGAGTGTACGCCACAGGAATTGTTGCGGCTTCTTCATGAGACAATTTGTTTGGAAAACTCCAAGTGAGCTTCGGATGAGCTAACACAGAAGTACCTATAGCACCTCCTTGGACCAATCCTATCACATTGTTTCCATTCTTGTCGATACCAGAATATTCCAAACCAAGTCGTTCTTCATTTGAGTCAACACCAACCCTTGCACCAACCATAGTCAGATCCCAGTTGCATAGACTAGCATAGTGAACAGAAATTTCTTTGTTAGTTAGGTAAGGAGATTTTTGTATCCATCGTACTCCTTTTACATCTTTCAAAAGACAAGCGTCAGAGTACAAACGTGGTTGAAAAGAAGGTAAACGCAACAAACGGTAACTACCCCAAGAACCGTCTTGGTAAATGTTAACTGTTAAATCTTTCTTCAGTTGCTCCAAGTAGAATTTTGATTTAAAAGAAAATCGTTCGGTCTCTTTATAGCTTCTAATGAGGAAAAGTCGCACATTATGACCATACTGTTCGAGTCGCATTGTATTAAAGAGTCCAACGATACCAGAATTAAAGTCTTCATTAATTAGGTAAATTCTGGAGTTAGTTGACTGACACTTTTTGACTGCTAGCTTTAAGTCTCTTACCCAACTGTAGTTGGTATTGCTCGCCACGACAACAGTATATTTTTCCGGGAGAATCTGGGTGCGTCTAATTAAAGCGTATGTTCCAGATTTAGTAACGTGTTGATAAACCACCTCAATGTCTTCCACATCAAGATTCTGGACTTTACCAAAAACAAATCTAGCCCTTCGCGTACTATCACTGATATTGTCTTTGTTGATTTCTTGCATAACTAATAAATCATATTTATTACTAATTTTATCGTCGAGTGATCTAAGCTGTTCAAAAACGGTTTTCTTCAAATTGACTCTCTCAATTATAGTCTTCAGTATTTGTAGTCCAGCATCTGATTCAACTTCTGCGATAGATATATTCGAACCTTCAGTACAATTTTCCACAACAATTTGAGAGGCTACATCAAGAGCGTGGTGATAAGGATCAGCTTCCTTTTGTGTATCGGTGTTTGAAACGAAAGCATATTTTCTCAAAGTTGGTGGTGAGTCGATAATTCGTCTCTTAACATTTGTTGCTACAACGCTTCTAAGTTCAATTCCACCACATCTCGCTGCTTTCAAGTACTTGTTATAATTCAATTCTAGCTCAGAATTTGAATCTAATGATTTTAAGTGTTGTTCTGGATTTATAACGATCTTTTCGAATGTAGTTGGCAGACTGTGACCAGTAGTTTCTACACTTAGAATAAACTGAACCATACTATCTATAAAAGCTACCCAATTATCGTTCCATTTCAAAGTCGCAGATCTGCCATCAATATCGCACTGCTGGACACCCATAAATATGCCACTATAGTCGAAACCTCTCAAATGCATACAGTTGTAAAAGTCGTCGCTATTGATTTTAATTTTGTATTGATTCGTTCTAGGAACAACTGGATAATCTAAGAATTCCTTCTCGATTTGTTCTGGAACTAATATCCTTCCACTTGAAAGTACGTTCCTTTCGTCATTTTCCAAGCAAATTTCAAAGTTGCCAGTTGATTTGAAAATATTTACAATTAATGCAGATGTTTCGTTCGTATGAAGCAAGATAGGTCTCAAAGTTTTAACGTTTTCAAACACTACAGAGCATTTCGTAAGTGGTATTTCCATCATTCTAGCAAATGCTTGCCACACTAGGTACTACGAAAATATATTTATTGATTTTTTTTTAGATTAGATGTAATAAAAAATAACTTACAATGTAACCTGCAGCTGGAAGAATCAATCTACCGTCAACCATATGTCCCTCCAAATACTGATTATTCTGGTCGTTCATGTCAATTTCCTGACGACACCCGTAATATCCGCTAGGATTAAATCTTAGAGAGTGCCATTTGACCCTATGGTCCCACTTAACTAAGTTTGAGATCATTGGTGTGTCAATACTAACTGGAAAGCTGACCGGTTTATAAAAATGTTTCAGATCCGGTTGACCTCCACTGTTATACAACTTTCCGATGCCTGATAACAAGAAATCAACATTATCAACTCCAGGTTTAAGTAGAGACAACAATGCGACATTTGGATCTAATGCTCTTTTGAGAATTGCTTGCAGTAGACCTCTAGGTGCTATTTCTATGACAATGGCATCTTTGGGAATATGTGTTAAAAGTTGTCTAAAGTGTACCCTATTTAAATAATTGTGAAAATGATATTCAGCGGAGTTATATTTTCCTAACTCGCTATTCCATTCGGATTCTGGAAGTGCTGAAGGAAGCCATCGTTTAGATCTCGATTTAACGTCAGGCAAGACTTTCTTAATAAAAGTATACATTTTTTGACCAGCTGGTGCTAAGTGTGGAGAGTGAAGTGCGTAGTGCGAGTTACTTATCACTCTGTTGAAAATTCCTCTAACACTAAGTTGATGTAAAAAGTCTGTTACGCTTTTTTCTGGCCCCGAAACTGTAACGTTTTCGTCAGAATTATCACAGGCAATGTATACACCTTCTGGCAACAGTTTTGAACATTCCGCTACAGAAAGGCCAACAGCGGCCATCAACCCAGGAGTTAAGTTGGAGGTTGTAGTAGCGTTACTTCGGCCATAGGACATTAAAACAGCCTGTTCGGCAGTTATTAAACCATCTGCATACGCGCAAGCTAGAAGATATTTTTTATTAATATCACATTTAAAGATAATTACTCTACGTACCAATCTCACCAAGTGAATGACCAATAATACCAGAAGGTTCAATATTTAAAGACGTTAGCAAGTCCGTCAGCGCTATTGATACTGCGGTAATGGCAGTGAAAGTGTTAACCATATTGTCTAATGTTTCGTCGTTTCCGTTAACTACAATCTCTTCGAGATCGACACCATAAGGTTTAAGAGCATTAGCACATTTTTTAATTGTATTTCTACAAACATCGAACTTCATCAGATCTTTGCCCATCCCGGACCACTGTGAACCAAAACCAGCGAAGACGTACCAAATTGGGCGTTTTTTTGAAGAGACTTGGTTAATACCGTAGTGACTTTCATTAGATAAAACGGTGTAACCACGATAATTATGATTATCAATAGATTTATAATGAATACTGTCGATCAGAGATAAGAATTCTGCGTTAGTTTTGTGATTGACCGCTGCTTCAAGCATCACTTGAACTGCTTCTTCGGTTCTTCCGGAAACAATAACCAGGCGGTGGCTTAAATTATTTGTGATTTGTTTTCTCTCAGAGTATGGTCGTAGAATAACCATCGCGTTCGCCCCACCGAAACCAAAAGAGTCTATGGCTATGAGACCATTCGGCAAAGGCATATTTTTATCAATTACCTGGAAATGCTCATTATAGCTGATTGTTTTCTTCATTTTAATGAAAATCTGACCTTTAATCGTCCTTCACGAATTCCTCTCATTAACGGATCTGGTGATTTGAATCGCAAGTTCCCTGGAATGACACCTTCCCTGATAGCGAGGATAGTTTTAATAATGGAAACGAGTCCCGAAGTGGTTTCAGTATGCCCGATGTTGCTTTTAATGGAACCAATTAATAATGGACTCTTTCTTCCCTTGGTATAAAAGTCATCGATTGCTATCACTTCCTCAACATCTCCAACTCTGGTACCAGTACAATGAGTTTCAACATAGTTCACATCCAACGGATCTAAATTGAAGTTTTTAAACGTCTCCCTAAACATGACTTCTTGCATTGCATGTGACGGATGCGCAAATCCGTCCCTTTTAAAACCCTCGACGTTGGTCCCTAAACCGGCAAAAGTAGCATAGATCCTCTTCGCATCTTCAACTTTCTGCAATACGATGGCTGCGACACCCTCAGATTTTACATAACCCTTCCTGTCGGCATCAAATGACCTACAAATTCCTTCTTCGTGTAACACACCAATCTTTATCAACTCAACACTTTCGGCCGGATCAAACTGATGCTGCACAGCACCGACAACCGCTAAATCGCATCGTCCAGCTAAAATGTTGTCCACTGCGTCTGTCAGAGCGTAGAATCCACTAGAACATGCCGTATTTACAGCTAAACTTGGTCCTTTGAAATCGAAACAAAAGGATATCACGTTTGCCATAATGGCAGCAGAACGTGCTATGATTCCACCCCTGTAGCTTAAATCGGAGATGTCGTTCTGGGTAACTCCCAGAAATATACCGACGTTTTTTCCGCGTAATTCTGTCGGATTTAGACCGGCATCGAGAAGAGCTTCATAAGTTACTTCGAGGATTTTTCTTAACCTCGGATCATTGGTATTTGCTTCTTTCGGGTTTATTCCGAAAAAAGCCGCGTCAAAGTATGGAAAATCGTGAATTATTCCCAGTCGTGGTGATGTTTTCAGAGCTTCAGTTGACCACCTGTTGTGACTATTGGACACTAAATCTATGCCTTTGAAAAGAGCCTCTTCCAATTCTACTACGTTAGCACAATTGGGAAACCGGCCAGCAACTCCGGTGATGCCAATGGATTCCGCATTTATGGGCCTGGAATAATTAAAAATTGATTTCAACTTGTTTTCAGTACATCAGTATTAGATATTGCTGCTATGTCCCAAAGAATATGAAGTATAGAAACAATATATTTAAAAAAAAAAGACTTAAAGAGTGATACTCATAGAAACTCAACCCACTTGAGTTGAGTGAGTTTGAGTTCGAGTTAAAATTATGATTGCATTCATCGTTGTTCCTTAACGAAATCTTTAGAAATCTCAAATTAATGAGTCAAATTCGAGTTGAGTAGGAGTTTTTTTCAAGGAACGACTATGAATCTCACCCTAAGTTAAGGAACTATGAATGCAATACTAGTTTAATTTTGACTCAAACTCAACCTCACCTTCAACTCAAGTGAGTTGAGTTTGAGTGGAGGTTGAGTAACGACTATGAATATCACCCTTGAGTGCAACAAAAAAATACGAAAACAAAAATATATTTAATTCATTGATAATAATGACCATCCTGACATGATTTTTTTTATCCAAACATTTCTTTCCTTTTGGAAGCCCTTTATTCAGAATTGTTTACTTTTGGCGATCTATTTGGGATATTAATCAGCCATCTTCAAGAACCATTCGAAATACAGTAGAGTTTATAGTCACCTACGTACTAATTTCTAAAGATAAATGATTAATTATGTGACACGAATTAATACGAATTAATTTCTAGGTTTTTGGTAGGTCTGAAGACGGATAATTAATTAAACATTTAAATTGTTGTATTGCAGTAATAAAAACAAGTGCACATAAGCTTTAGTAAGAATTTCAAAAATATTTAGAACAAGTTTTTAAAATATGATTACTTATATATATTTTTTTAATATCGGTGAGACCTTCAAGAAATACAACATAGTCACCATAATATTTCTTCGTGTAAAATTTTTGGCAAACTACCTTAAATTCTACAATAAAAACATATATCGAAACTTAGTGTGAATTTTTGACATTTTAACTTAACATAAAAAAAAAACAAACAACATACATAAGTTAATCTCATCGCTTTATCTAATTTATGTAAAAGATAATATTAAAATAAAATAAAGAATACACGTCTCCTTAGGACTTGATGATGCGATACTTTATCTAAAAAAGCCTCACTTGAAAGATCATTCTATTCTAGACAACCGAAACTGATGCCACGTGAAGAAATTCTACAATTTTCAATTTCATCCGCACATCGAAATAAATAACTTCACATTACTATGACAAATTTAACAGTTTGTCATCAGATCTGCCAGACAGAGAACCGCATTTACTGGGAAAATTTTATTTAAGGGCAGTAAAAAAATAAGGGGGCAAATTTTCGTTTACCTCAGAATCGTGTAAATTTCACAATTTAATAATAAAAAAATTAAAAACTCCACTTTCTGATGATTTAATCCACGTACTCATCTGCTTACTTATTTATGAAATATTTATTTCTGATGTTTATTGAATGTTATGTAATAAACACGCTTCGTTTACAGCATAAGTGTGTTTTTATTAAAAAAAAAAATAATTAATAAATAAACAATTATTCTATTAACATTATTATTAATATACTTTCTTGTTTGAAATTTGTGGTGAAATAAAATAATTCTGTCTGAATCTATTAGTCAGAATTATCAAAAAAAATATCAATATTTTTGAGGATATCTTGCTCATTTTTAATTTTTCCACGCTTTTTACTGTTATTTTTCATTGTGCTGCTGAGAATGCTGGTTTTGTATTATAATTTAATAATAATTTTTCAGCATTAAATTTGAACTTTTTAACAGTTTCAGATTTTAGGGCGAGTCAAAACTACAATAATAACTTACAACATCTTGAGTTACAATAGACAATTAAAATGCAAATGAGATCCCTCTAAGAAAATAAAGGGCCGGTGGGCCGACTTAGTACCTGCTAAGATTATTAAGACCCACCACTGACCCGGAAATGACAGGCATTCAGGCAAGACTTCTATCATTACGGGTACTAAGACCAAGTAATGATATGCATTGATATTATTATTGATTTGGAACAGAGGTAAAAGCCTATTATGCTCGCCAACAGAACAACAAATCCAGCAGCTAGAATTTACTGCTAGTCTTATTAAAGATGTTGAACATTTTTTTTTAATTGCATCAAATAAATGTTTGCCTGACTTATGTTTAAAGATAGTCGTGATTTTTGAATTAATGATATCGGAATTTAGGCTGTTCCAAACGGTAAATACCCTGTTTGTTAAAAAATAATGTCGCTATCTGGTTTTGCACTTCTCATGGTAGAGTTTTAATGCATGGCCACGGAAACGGGAAGTATCTGATGAAATAAAAATGTTAGACAAGTCAATGCTGTACTGACGGGTGATGATGTTGTAGGCACATACAAGATCATGAAAAATACGACGTTTTTCTAAAGTAAGAAGGCGTAATGCAAGAAGTCTGTCTTCATAAGATTTATTTTTCAAGATTTCTACTTTTTTTGAGAATCGGCGTTGTATTTTCTCGATCAGCTGTTTGTCCTTTATTAGGTTAGGAGACCAAATGACATTGGCATATTCTACTACTGGGCGGACATATGAAGCAAATAGGGTTTTGAACGATTCTTCGTCGAGTTTGGCGAAAGACTTTTGAAATAAGAAGGAGCTTACGTTGGCTTTTTTAACCATATAAGTTATCTGCTCGGAAAATGAGAGTTCGTTGTCGAGTATAACCCCTAGGTCATTTATCTGTTTAACCGAATGCAACGTATGATTATCTAGAACATAACGCATATTTGGGTTGTTCTTACCAAAACGGAGAACACAGCATTTTTCTTTACTGAGCGGCATTAACCATGTACGAGTCCATTTATATGCTTCTACAAGATCGCCTTGGATAGTTTGATAAGAAACCAATGGATGCGATGATTTAAATATAGACAAAAGATCAGATATATATACCAGAAACAATATAGGACCTAATACAGAACCTTGTGGAACACTAAATAGAACTTCCCGGTTATTCGAATAGGACGAACCCACTCTCACTTTGAAACTGCGGCCACTAAGAAAGGCTTTTATCCACAACAACACACGACCGTCGAGCCCTGCATTTTCTAATTTTCTTAAAAGACGTCGATGAGGAAATCGGTCAAAGGTTTTTTCGAAGTCTAAGTAAATGACGTCAACGGGTGCGTTTTTCTCCAAAAATAACGTCCAGACATTAAGACACTCGAGTAAACAGGTAACCATGGATCGTTTGGGTAAAAAAAAGATAAAACTGATTTTCGCAAATGACATATTCTATAAGAAAAAAGGGGGTGGGTGGGCGGGGCTAGTATGATTTCCCGCGCTTACTCTCACAAACGGATATCTTCATAAGGAGAATTTGAATCGCCTAGTGTAGAAAAAATTCTTCCATGAATTTTTTTCGCTATTTTCCCTTTCAAAAAAGAGGAACTGAACCACACTACTAATTGCAGTGTGCTCAATCACTCGACTCACTAGCATTCGACGAAAGTTTGCTGACATAATGACTTAATATTATAGAAACGGCATCTTTGGGAAGCCTACTCGAATAAAATATGCAAACCAAGTTATTCACCAAATGTTGATCATAAGAAACTTCTCGATTAAAGCAGCTTTCAAAAAAAAAGAAAATGCATTGAAATCGGTGCATCCGTTTCGGAGTTACGATGCCACAGACAGACACACAAACACAAGGGTCAAAGTTATAACACTCCTCCTTTTTCGTCGAGGGTAGTTAATATTGATGCACACCATATTCCTAAAATTATTGGAAATTGGAGTATAAAAAAAATTACTTACTATATTAAGCTCTTTTTAAAATTAATTCAAAGATAAAAGCTTCAGAAAAATGTTTATCTCTCTAAATTTACTATTTTGACAGAACTTGCCTCGCTCCTTCAATTCTAAAAAATGTGAATGCAATGATAGATCACAAGCATAGAGACTCATCATATTTTGCACATTTTCGAAAGGATTTATTTGGCAAAATTTTGAGATAATGTCAACAAAATTTTGGTGGGGGAGGTATAACCGTCTGCAAGACTGCAAAGCATTCAATTTTCAAAATTAAATTGCAAAACGTCATTAAATTTTTTTCTTGAAAATATGCATATCTCGTGTAAAACCTCAACATGGATTCATAGACTACATGTGTAGAGTATGTTATTTTTTACTATTCTAAACCCATTTACTACGTACAACATTGAGGTGACGTCATCACATTGTTGGTGGGGATGATTAGACAAAATTTAGTTAGCGTTTTACCATCTACATAATATTCATATTACAAATATAAAATTTGACAACACTAGGTCCGGTAGTTTCGGAGATCAACTGTCTAACAAAAATCGAGACAGACGGCATGGAAACGGGAGACATATTTTTTTTACTCTGAGCGTCGTGACACCTCGAAAATATATAAAAGTAGCCAGTCGCCCGATAGACAATTAGAATGCTTCCTTAGCTTACGCTCGCGAATTAATCCTGAACTATGCTTCTACCGAACTTAACGTTCAATTTTCCCTCTATTTAAAAAACACCTTAGGTTTTCTAGAAAATTATCAAATTTGCTAAAAGAATGAAACAACCAAAAAATACCAGAACACGTTTCAATAAGTTGTAAACAAAAAGTAATAGAATATACTTTGTACGTTCGAAAAAAAGTGAAAAAAAGATCTGAAGAAACGAAGCCAACTGAAAAGAAAAAAAAGCGACACCTTATAAATTATAAATGCTTAATACCTTGTGATCGGTTTTTTTAATTATATAATAATTTAAGATTACTTAAAAAAAATTCAATCTAATAATAATTAAGCATGGCATCATATGTATTTCTTCATTAAATAATACTTACATTTTTCAGTTTTACGGGACACACTGAACTAAAGTGTTTCTGCTACTGTAACGTCGGAAATATATAGCTATTAGATGAATAATTTTTTCTTGGGTTAAAGTGCAAAAAAAAAAAATAAAAAGCACAAGGTTCTCAAGTTATCTACATAGATTTTCAATTTTAATTTTTGCAACTATTGTAATGAGTCACTGGGAATCAGTTTAGTTTTGTATTAAGTAAGGCGGGTATTATTCATGGAGCATTGTTTACATGTATAAAATGTATTCAAAAATAGCTATGCAGGAAATGCATGAACTTGACTTACTGATGTGGGTAATCTTTTTATTAAAAAAGTCCTTTCCATACTTCCTGAAGGAATTTCACCCGATCTAGGACAAGCGCATACATTTACACTACATTATATTAATCCAACGTCAACAAATATTTTGATTTAATATGCGCATTTTACTACCTTTTCCGTCTTAAAATGGGATGCTTTGGAATTCCTATTTTCTGCTCAAACGTGTAGCAGAAAAACCAGTTTGCTGTAAAAATAACTGCGATATACACCAAAGCAATACTTGAATTATTAAAATGATTTTTGACTACGTTTCACATTCCTTGCGATCAAGCTAAAATATTCAATATTGCACATAACTCACGTGCAGAGATAACATTCGATAAGCATTATTTGCACCAGTGGCAAAAATCAAAATTAATTCAGTTCACAATTAAACTAGCTTGGCTTTTCCTTTCCGCACCATAAAAACCTCAGATTTTTCTGGACCGTAAAAATATTTTATTTAAAAAGGGTGCATTTTCACACATATGTGTTGAAACAAAATAAGAAATGATGCTTCAGGATCGTGTGGAGAGGACCAAGCGACTCCGGGACAAGACGAGAGCAACCGGATCTTTGATAGATGTTTCACGCTTCGGCCGCATACTAAGTGGCTAGCGTTAAGCCTCCTCTCTAGACCCCATACTAACATAACTTATTACATATATCAGTTATATTTCTACTTTCGCTTGTGTGAACACTGATAACATTACATTTTCTAACTTCTGGATAATTTATGCCCCGGCTGCAGATTTTATTTTTATTACTGTCGAGGGACCGGTGGCCTTAACACGAGAAACCTGATTTCGCCTTTTTTACGTCATGCGTAATTCTACGGAATGGATAGGCTTTGTTTCACATTTCGTCAAAATCGGAGGCGCAGGAAAGGGGGCTAACGGCGCTCGAGACACCAAAACTCGGAGGTTTATCTAGCAGACAAATTAATTAATTTTTACTTCCTGAGCATATGCTAAACAAGTATTGTAATAGGGTCTATGGCTACTTTCACGTTTTCTCGACGTTTCATGACCCCTAAAATAAAAAAAATAGGTATCGCGCTTTTATCTGTATGTCGTCTGTCATCGAGTCGATTTTTCCAAAACTGCTGGACCGATTGTTGTCAAATTTTATAGGTATATTAGCAATACCGTGTAGATAGTAAAACGCTAATCAAAATTTGTAATAAAATATATGTAAATACTCCTGCACCTGCGATTCATGTTAAGTTTTTACCTTTGCCGTCCAAATTTTTGGAAAAAAAAATAAAATTTTATAACATTTTTCAAATTAACTTTGAAACTGTACAACCGAATATTCTGAAATCTTAATAATAATAATAATAAAGTTTATTAATGCTACAACCACAATCTGTTTTGCACAGGTCAAAAAAAAATAGGTACATATTCAAATATCCTACTACAAGTACGCACACAATGACAACACTTGAGTTTAAAAGACAAATATTCTTCATAACAATAAAATGCATTCTTAACCAAAGCAGACGTTTTAAGGTTATTGTAAACAAGGTAAACTTGTGGTTTATGAATGCAACTATATTTTTTAGAATTAGTTATATAGGGTGACTTAAAAAATAATTAATGGAACAATTTATTATATTGATTAAATCATGAACGTTTCAGCCCATTTTTCCATAAATATATATACAACACTGTTTTTATTAGTGTTGGACTGCACTTATTTAAATTGATACACATGTCGTTGGTAAAATGTTGACTTCGTCATCACAAAATTTTGTTATTACAATGTTACAACACTCACTTGAAACATACGCATAGCATGCTTCTTTATCTGTAGTTTGGCAGTACACACATATCTTTATTTAAACTTATACGGGTTATCATAAAAAAATTAAAAGCCGCAAAATTGAATTTTATAATTTTTTTAAAAATCTCTTTTTGTTCGGTTGTACTTCAAAGGCAGAGAAGAACTTTAGATCATTTTTTAACATAATGCAGTATCTGTAAAACCAAAATTTTAAAAATATATAATAGATACAATGATATATTTGTTCTTGACATGTAAGACTTAAAATCTGACCGTCTCTGCTATAGTTTGGTTCAAGTCTTCATTTTGTTCCTGTACACTCAAATTATCTTACGTATTAACTCTAATGAAGACGAAATTACATTGTTCAAAGATTGTCATTTACAAACATAAAAAATTAGTCTAAAGAGTTTAGACAGTACTTCTCTCACTGTCGGAAACGTGACGACGGCATGCCTATTATGTTTTTTTTCTCATTACATTTATGTAGCGAACCATTTTAAAAAATTTGGATAGATGTAGTGTAATAGTAAAAAAAAAATAGGGCTAGGCGATTGAAATTTATGCCCAGTGGCTCGCAACCAATGTTACGCATCGCGAAGAAAATTATAGTAGAAACGTTTCTGTTATATACAATAAAATTTTACAATGTCATTACAAGGGGTTTAAAGTAAAACTATTTCTGTAAATTCTTAAAAATGATGCACAATTGAAAAGCGAGAAGCAAGTAAGGCAAGGATGCACCGGCCACACTTCAGACGGGTAGATAATAGATGAATAAATTTCGACCGCCCAGCTTTATTTATAAACAACGACGTCATAGCAAAACGCATCTGTGCGTGATGTTCGACGTCCCGCATGCTGTTGAATGCGCCAAGGTCATCAAAAAAGGGTATAAGTGCAAAAAATTTATTTACAGCACATTATCAACGGGAATGCATTACATCGGAAGAATGTCACCTTGCCATTTGTTTGATTTGAGTCATTTTATCGCCCCAAAAGAGATGACTAAAATTATTCATAAGCCTCCATTGAACAAAATATTCTGAAGTTATTACTATAATTCTTACATTATTTTATTATTATAAAGACGAACGTATTCTCACATTTTCCAGAAAATGGTGTGGCACGTTCTTAATTTGATCAATAATAAACTGACTGATTCATTAACTTTTTTGAGTCACCTGTTTAAGCAAATCTAAAAAATATGAATGCAATAATTAAAAGTCTGCTCATATTTTGCACGTTTGCGAAAGAATTTATTTGGCAAAATTTTGAGATGCCGTAATCAATTTTTTGGGATACATTTTCATTAAGAAGTTATCATGCTTACAATAACTTCAAAACGTCAAGATTTCAAAGTATTCACTTTTGCAGTTCTTGATTTAATCAATAAAATAAACTGTCATTCATTTTTTTCACACACCCCGTATAAGAGGAGGTTTTACCCACACGGAAAGTAGCCCGTGCACTGGGTTATGATTTTTCAAATCATTGATTTATTAATGGTTAAAAATAGTTGAAAATTTAATTGAGTGTTGTCAAAGAATGTGGCATTTTGCCACCGTTCGAATTTTTTAAATCTGATAAATAACTATTGCAATAAAAATTAACAAAATCACATAAAATTGGCTTAAAAGAAGCGTTTGTAACTCGGCAATTAAATGACGCCTTCGAAAAATTCAAACGGGGGCAGCAAGATCAATGTTTCGTAACTGTGTATATCAAATTGCGACGTTGTAAATTACAAAATGTTGCTATAAAACGAAAAAACAGAACGCATGTTTTCGGACAAAATGCAAGCCGATTTCTGGTCGTCCTCACTTGGGTCAGGTGAGGAAAGACGCTAAGCGGGGCCTCACATCTACTCCCACTCTAAAACGCAAAGTACGAACACGACGAGATCGTATTTTGAAATACTTTTGTCATATTATAATCGGTGGAGCGTTACAAGTCGACGATGGCACCCGAACTAAGTTGAATCTTTCTGTGTACGCTGTGACTAAGATTCACTTCTCCCCTCGAAAATGTTTACGTCCCTCAAAATTCACTGATTTCACAGTTCGAGAAACGAATGAATGGCTTGAGTAAAACCTGCTCATAAGCAAATCTAAAAAATATTTATGGAGTGATAAATCACAATTATAGACTCATCATAATTTGCACAATGCACATTTAAGATAGCATTTTTTCGGAAAAAATTTGGGGTGGCGTGATCTCTTTTTTTAGGGGGGATGAACAAATATGTTTTGATTAAAAATTTACCATGCCTATGATAACTTTAAAATTTCTCCAAGATTTCAAAGCAATTGGTTTTGTAGTTCCTGATTAAATCAATAAAATAAATTTACGCATTCATTAATTTTTTTGAGTCACCCTGTATATGCAAATCCAAAAAATATGAATGGAATGAAGTTACAAGTACAGATCACAAGAAGAGACGCACCATATTTTGTACATTTTAGATAGGATTTATTCAGCAAAATTTTGGGGTACGTCATCAATTTTTTGGAGGGGACAAGTAAATATATTTTGAATAAAAACTTATCATGCTTATCATAACTATAAACCATATGCAATATTTCACAGCATTCGGTTTTGCAGATTCCAAATTAAATGTCAAAATGTTGTTTTCAAATTTTGATTTTTTTTTCCAAAAATCTGGACGTTTCGGGTAAAATCTCAATTCGAAGTCAAAAACTACATGTATAAGACTATGTTATTTGATACAATTTAAAACCCATTTACTATGTACACTTTGAAATGACGTCATCACATTAGTGGTGGGGATGATTAGACACATTTTGGTTATACTTAATATAAATACAAAATTTGACAACAATCGGCCCAGTACTTTTGGAGATTATCTGTCTAATAAAAATCCGGGACGGCAGACAGACGGACAGACAGA